ACTACTACTTAATTTAATTTTTAATTTTGTCACACTAGTATAAGTAGTACTATATATATATATATATATATATATATATATATATAGTAAATCTATATATCAATGCTTAGTGTTCAGAGTCCTTTGTTTTTTTTTTTTTGTTTATTTGTTTTTTGGGCAGAAACCCCTCTGCCCAAAAACAATGTATGAGTGTTCAGCATTCAACTCATTTTTTTTATATAACTAATTACTATCTTCCTCTTTCTGGAATAAAAAATGGCAGTATATATGTTTGACACTAAACTGATTACCCAAGAAGACTTATATGATGAAAGTAAGCCAAACAAATTCACTATTTCCGTAGATGCTCATAAAGGCTACAACTACACAATTCTCTGAAGGAAGAAGATTTTGACGATGCTCATCTGGGAAAAATACTATCCAAGCTATATGTTGGACAACAATGAACGCTACATGTCGAGATATCAGAGCCCCTAGGATAGATCTAAAAGGATAGAGAGAGAGAGATAATCGAAGGATTGAACCTAGTCGCTTTGAAATCAGAAAGATCGGTGAGGGGTTCACAAGGCCGTGATATCTTTTAGAACCACAGTTAGAGAGAGAGAGGCCGTGAGATCTTTTAAAACCACAGTTAGAGAGAGTAGAGATCACAAGGCTGTGAAAGGCTTTAGAACCAAGGTTAAAGAGAGAGAATAGAGACAAAAAGTAATAAGAGATAGAAAGAGAGAGAGCAAAGGATTGGATAATCCTTAATTGACATAGGGAAGAGAGAAAATAACATAAAATATTAAAAGAACCTTGAAAAGAGAGTCAGAGCCATTTTGTGGCTTCTTGGACGAATTAATTGAGGGAGAAAGATGAACGAATAATAAGAAAGAGAAGAAAACTCCTCATCGTACCCCTTTTCTTTTGTTTTTATAATGGGGTTACTTGTTGATTTGTCTACAACATGGGAATTAGATGGGAAGAAAGACGAAGGGGGGTGAAAACTGCGCTCAACCGCCAACAGCTTGTCGATATATCCTTTTATAGGCTACGACTTACTGGCCCTCTCGGTTAGATCAGCTACCAGAAGAGTCAACAACACCTGACAGTGTCTTTAATTGGTATCATGCTCACAGTAAAACAAGAGCTTCGATATCCCGAGTTTTGTCTTGGAACAAGCTTGGACGAGATCACCAAAGATGACTCTATCGAGTTTGGTTACTCATTTTGTGTTGCACAAAGCAAACACTACTTCACTTTTATATCATTTTATAGCTAAAAAAAGAAAAAAGTAGACTAGAATACCATATAATTGTTTACAAAACAATGGGCTAAAACCTTGAGCGAAAAGTAATACCACCGTCACAAAGGAAAACCACATAGTACATCCACTTACCCCTCATTATCACATCCACTAAAAAACAAACCATTTTCAGAGACTAAAACAACTTACAAGAAGTGAAACCACTAAATGAAAAACCACGTGCTATGTAAATGGTTTCCTTATTAATGTTAATGATTGATATAGCTTTGAAGTAAGCTTTTTATTCTTTTCCTTTTCCTTCTGGAAGGTAAGAAAGAAAGTGTTCTTTTCAAATATCCCTTCATCTGGTCATTATCTACAGCTGTAGGGAAATAAGTTGGATGTCCTTTGAATCTTGTCTGGTATGGCAAATACCATGTTTTATTTTCATCTATTGGTCTCTTGTTTCCTTGACTTTTCATGTTTTTTTGGCTAGAATGTGTAATTTAGTTCGGTCAGTGTTACAAAACTCGAATGCAGTCCCCATCTTGGAACATGCCAAATCCGAGTCAACTTGCCAAAAATTAGAAAAACTCTACAAGTTCTTCAAATTTTTGTATGGAGAATTTCTCAAAAAAATAAAAATGAAGCACCGATAGTTGAACCCCATTCCCACTTTGCATGCTTGATGCCATATCCTTTCGTGCGTAATGCCACATGGCACAAAACTACAACAACTGAAAAGAAATGCTTTCTGGTCAATATTTCATAGGGAAAATATATAAAAGAGAGAATCTCCTATGCATCCTGATTTTTTTCATTATAAAACTCGCCACTCAGTCGATCTGTCTTCAGCTGTTGAATTGAGTTTCTGAACACTGACCTGGGTTTATGTTACTCTGTTGGATTGGTAATTTGATTCATTTATTTAGTATTTCTTGCTGAGAAATTTTTTGTTTATGTATGAAATTAATGATACTGAGTCACTCTATTGTTCTCTTAGAGCTTCTAAGCTTCTTATTGTATTTTCCATGTCATCCTTTGTTTATCTTACCATTTTATCTTTCATAGGTGTGAATGATTAAGATTCATAGTGTTTCTGTTCTTCTTGTCTCTTGTAGCAGGGGACTATGCAGATAAGCTTTACAAGGAACATATGTAGGGTACTTCTTCATGCTCTTTAGTGATTTTATTACTGTTATGTAAGAGGGGGGAGCAAGTGTGGAATAGGGACAAGGTGTCTATTGTATACCTTGTCTCCATGGAACATACTGAGGGTCTAGATTTCAATACAGTAAAGGGTGTTCGTAAACCTCGAACTTTTTCATCTAGAAAACCACGAATCGGGTCACATTCATTTCGCACTGAGTATGACTGTGATCGAACATCTCCTTCAGATTCTCCTCCTGATACGGGGGCTACCCATATTGGCAGCTCCTCTGAAAATTTGGGAAAGCACTTAAGCGATGATGATGGATATGACAATAACGGGTATGAGGTTCAGGGGAAGAGTAATTTGCATGATGGATCACTTCAATATGAAGCTAGTAATGAATATGCACCTGCAGATTATGCAAAAAGGGAAAAGGGAAGGTTCAGTCAAAAGACAAATTTTGATGATATTGAGAATCACATAAGGATGCAGTATGAGAGGGAACATAATGAGGGGTATGGTGGTTATGAGAAAACAGTACATGATTGCACTGGTGATGGAGGACTAAACCACAGAATGAGCATATCTAGGGGATCAAATTCGAATGGACAGGGGAAATTTGGGTCTACAACGAGATGCAGTGAGGGTGTTCTAGCCCCAGCCAAAAGAAATCGGCCTAATTGGAGAGATGTTAAGTTGCAACCTTTGGACGCTGTTGGTCCAGAGCCCTTCAAGGGTGGGTTAGATAAACAAGGCTCTTTTAGTGAGGCGGGTGCAAGACAGGTGCTTCCGCAGGAGGATCCTTCACCTCAGGGGAACAGGCCCACAAAGGTAAAGCTTAAGGTGGGGGGTATCACTCATACAATTCATGCAAACCAAACTGGAAATGATGGCAGTACAAGGCCTAGGTATTCTGATGGATCATCTTCCGTGAAGCCTCCTTCACATTCATCTGATATCAGAAGGCGAAAGAAGCTGATTATTCAGGTACATATACTTGCTGTTTCAAAAAGCGGACCGCCCTGTGCCTGGGCGGCCGCCTAGGCGGATATCCTTGGGCGCCTGCCTGTATCCGCCTAGGCAGCCGCCCAGGGCCTGTGCCCCGCCCAGGGGTGGAAATGAGGCTCTTTGAGGCTATTTTTGGATCATTTTTTTTAATTTAAAAGGGGGAAAAATTGTGGGTTTTAGGTTCATTTGAAACCTAAAACCCATTAGAGGCTATTTTAGACAGAGAAAACCCAAAAAAAAAAAAAATTTACTAGGCCGTCCAGGTTCTGGGCGTCCGCCTGGGTGCTCGCCTAGGCCTTGGGCGGCCTGGACCGCCCCCCCCCCCCCCCCCCCCAACCCCCCTAGGTGCCACCTAGCAATTTTTGAAACACCGCATACACTCTATGTGCATTGCAGTCAAGTTTTCTGAATTCATTTATCCGACTCGTAGTTTATAGAAATGCATTATGCTGCGAGCATTTCATAGTTATTGTAAATTCATAACCATGTGTTCAGGTTGGGGTTAATCCATTTTGAATCGGCCCTCGGACCACATTTGTATAGTATCGCCATGTATACAAAAGAGTTAATAAAACTTGCTATGATTATTTGACTCTGAACCTTCTGCACAAGTATTTTTGGAACTTTGAAACAGCCAAGTTTTCCGCCAGTGCCTTAGATTTCATATTTTATAGAAAAGGACAATGAAGACTATAGTTAGTTTGGGATTTCCTGTGCCCCATGACAATGCTGAGCCCTAGAATGAGTTCAGAAACCACTTGCATGCTTGACCGATATGCTTGCACATTTGGCAGAGATGCATCTTAGTACTTGAATATCGTGAATCTGTATATTGTCACTTGATGCTTCCTAGTGCTCCTGACCCCTAACAAATGTGACAAGCTACTTGATACAGGATCTTGTTTCCTCTGGCTCCTGCTTCATTGGAAATAATCCACCATTAATGATGTGTTGACTGTGTAGGGTTTTATATCATACACCACCTAGAATATGCTGTTTATGCCTCCCTATTCTCTAATCATGCTGCCTTTCTGGGCTGGTAGGCATTCATTCATGAAAAACATGATCATTCTTCGCATTGAAATAAAGCCTTGAAAGTCCGAATCAAGTAGTTCTCTGTTATTAAATAGTCCTCTGTTATTAAATTCTAAGATTAAATTTTTTGGCTATGTCCATATTGTGCCGAACCATGCGAGTCTCACATCACTTTGTATTCATCCTACAATGGGAGACTCACATGAAGTTACTGGTTGGTTTTTTTTTGCGTGCAGGATAATTCAGAAGATGAATATGACTATCCTCCAAGATTGGGGAAAGAGAAAAATTTATCAGAGGTGTCAAGAATGGATGCCACCACTAGTAGTTCTACTCACTCAAGATCCAAAATAGAGTCTCATTCCATTAGGGACACAACAAAGACCTCAGAAGAAAGTAATTCTGTGATGCAAACACAAAAGCCTGCTGAAGTTCTTTCCTCTCAGACTGTTCGTAAGAGTGCACGAGTCCCAAAGAGACGTGTTCTGGATGGGGACTATGTTGAAGACAACAATGAAACTGATGCTTTTTATCGTAAGAATCGTGTTTCTACAAAAAGGGTTGTGGATTGTGCATTTGGTGATGATTATGAGGAGGCAACCCCTCAAAGGAGAAGTTCAAGGGCTCCAAAAGGACGAAGAGTTGAAGAAGGCCATGAGGAAGATGAGGTTTACTATGTTACTCATCATAGTAAACAAAGAAAAAGGAACAAGTTAGTAGGCAAGGTCGGGGAAGTGATTTACCAGGAAGACGATGAAGAGGCTACATCAGCAAATGACTTTGATGGGAATTCAGGTTCAAAGAAAAGGAACAAAAAACAAGAGTTTGTTGATTATTTGGATGATGATAAGAAAGAACTTCCTCTCACTGCACGTCAACGGGCTCTTCAGTCCAGTAAAGTGGCCAATCCTGAAGCCACTACAAACTTGATGGCGTTTCCGGATGGGCTGCCAATGACAGGGAGAAGAAGTGAGTATTACCTTTCTGTAGCTTCTAATCATGGAAATATCTGTGTAGAAAGTTTGTAGGGGCTGACCACCGACATACAATTCTGATGTAGCAATGCCAATTTTCCATAGCCCGTTATACCATACAACAGAAAACTAGAAAAGGCATGAGTTAAAAAGATGAATTTATTTAGGTAGAGTCTAACATTAGCTTGAGTTCGCGAACTGGTTATCCAGTTTCTATGCACATGTTACCTTTCTTCTTCTTGTGTTCCTGGACATCTGGAATCAACCTGTACACATAACACCCTGAAGTGACAGAGATGTGACAGTTCCTAAGTTTGTGTTCTGATACTTTTTCCTTCTCTTCTTTTTTTTCTTCTATTTATTGTTTTTTCTTTTTGAAGATATTTTGACTCTTTATTCAGTATATTGTGTTGTACATGGTTTCAACTCACAGCCCACAAGTTGAGAGCTTTTCACAAATAGTTGGGTGGTCTGATACTCATGCATCTGCAAGATGAGTATGTGGCCTCCCAGTTTCAGTTGTTTGGGCTATCATTGGAATCATGTCCTCTATCGTTGTGTAGGGCAAAAGGAGAAACTCTCAGAAGTGGAGCAGCAGCTAAAGAAAGCTGAGGCTGCTCAGAGACGTCGGATGCAAGTTGAAAAAGCTGCCAAAGAAATACAGGTGTGTTTCCTTTCTTTAATTCTTCTAGTTCTTCCTTTAATGTCGTCTCTATAAAGAAAAAGGCATTTGACTTATTCATTTATTTATTTATTTATTTTAGATGGTTAATTGGGACTTAAAAATTTCCCTTTTGTAGGCTGAGGCAATCAGGAAAATCCTAGGTAATGATCCAAGCAGGGAGAAGCGACGAGATAAGCTCAGGAAAAAGCAGGATGGAAAAGCACGGGTAATTTAGTTATCATAAGCTCTTTCCTATTTGCAGTCTATTTGTGAAGTGTCATAGTATCCTATTTTATTTTATGATATAGGAGAAGGCCACTGCTTCGAGGGATCTTGAGTCCAATTCTGTACGTTGGGTCACAGGGCCTTGTGGTACCATTGTTTCATTCTCTGAAGATGCTGGACTTCCGAGCATATTTAAGTCCACAAAGTGCAGGTTGGTTCATTTTATCAATGGCATTGTCTGTAGTTGAGTTATTATTGTCATCAATGTGAACTTAATCTCATAATATTTCTAAACAGTGGTTTCAATGTCATATTTGCCATCCAAAATCTTCTTTCCACATTGTTGTGGAACCCTCTGATCTTATGGCCCCTGTGTTGTCAGTTACCCACCTCCGCGGGAGAAATGTGCCGTACCGTCATGCACAAATGATTACAAATATAGGGACTCAAAGTCCAATCTCCCTCTATGCAGTCTTCAGTGTTACAGGGCTGTGCACAATGAGATGCTACCTGTCACTTCGTGCTGATACGTACATTTCTGTTGCGATGGCCCACCTGTAAATTCTACTAGTAGATTGTAAATATTATTTTCATGGTTGGTAAACTGGGTTAGACCAGCAACCTCGAGGTTGGCTTGAACCCAATAAATGTAAATCTGCACCTCTAATAAAATTTATGTAATTTGTTAATTTTGTTAGTTTATCTTTAACCTCTTTTTCTGTGTGTGTTTCTTCGAGTCAATACTCAATGGCATGCTTTAAATGACAATAGATTTGTGAAGCTTTAGGGGTTCATTAGAGCTGGTCTGATGGGGATGGAGGAACAATGAAATTTCTGCCCATTTTAAGGAAATAGCACTAGAATGCCTGTTGCTTTGTGGAAGAGTCAGAGATCTATCAATTTCTCGCTTTTTAAATCACAAACTGAATTCTTGTTGTGGAAGATGCATGATGCCGGCTTCCTTTTTATTTCTTTTGAAATAAAAAGATCCGCCTTTACCATTGAAAAAAGGGAAGGAGGCAGGTGGCTTTTGATTTATTAATAAGTCCAATCTTGGGTTTTCACTATAATTTGGGAAAATTTATGCATATCCCCTTTTTTTTTTTCGTGGTATTTAAATTGTTTCCAAATTTTATATTTTACACCTTTTTGCCCTTCCTATTTTCTTTGAACCAAATGCACCTTGGCGCTTCAAAGTGCCAACCCAACCGGAAGCTCAGGTTGGCATTGGGAGTGTGGACCTGTAATATAGGATTGTCACAAGGCTCGAGAACGCAAGCAGGTGCTTCGAGTGCCGACCTGACCTGAAGTTCATGTTCTCACCTGGATGACGGAATTTTGAGTATCTACTGTGTTCATTTGGTTTCGCTCTCCTATTCATCTCAAGGCAAATTCACAGTGCGGCTTGCACTCGATGTGCTGACCCTACTTGAGCCTCAGGCGAAATCGGCACTAGTGTCGGCCTGCGCTCTGGAGCCCTGTAACAAATCAGAACATAGGTTTGCACTGCAAGTGTCGACATGTCGGGATGGTAATAAGTGTCGTAGGTCGAATCGGTACTTGGCGTACTACTCCAGGAGTGCCGACCCAACCAAGTTGGGTCGGCGTCAACATTTTGGAGCCCTATAGCAAATCTGGAGTGCAGGTAAACAAAAATGCTGACCCGAAGTGAGCTGTTAGGTTGGCTCTTGGAGCCCCCACCAAGGGGCATTTTAGGAAAAAAAAAGAAAAAAAAAGAAAAGAAAAAAAAGGCGATATGGGTGTAAATTGTAAAAATTCGGGGATATTTCAAATATTGCTAAAAAAAAAAAGAAGATATTTACAATAATTTCTTTTATAATTTCTAGATTCTGAGATGACTAACGTAATAAACTTCCTTTTTTTTTTTTGTTTTTCCGAATTTGAAAGAGTAAATTATATGTCTCCCTATAATTTATGAAAGTCCCCTATAAATTCCTAATTTACGTTTATATTCAATCTCTTGTTTTCAATTCGAGCACCTGTAAGTACATTCATAAAAATAGGGACTCCTTCCTGTCTCAAGGTGCGGGGGACCTTGCTCCATCACAGGTGGGGTCTCCCTCCCTCCCTTTCTTCCTATGTAAAATAATTGATGAATGAGAAAACAAATAAAATAAGAGCACCTTGGCATTTATCAAAAACCCACCATCCCCGGCAGAGGCCTTATGAAGTGCCGCCTCCCTCCCGATCACCATCAATCTATCTGTAAAGAATGGATGCGCTTCCCCCTCTCTCTCTTCGACACTCCAAGTGCCTCTCTCTCTTGTTTTGACACTCCAAATGCCGGACTAACTTCTACCCATAAATTTGCTAAAAGGCATGTTTGGCACGTAGCATTGGACTGACAATCTTATAGAAAAGTCAGTCCAACTCAATAAATTTTTGATGCAAGCTTGGTACCTCTAAGTCCATGATGAGGGGCGTCTTTGGAAAAAGTAGGAACTTGACAAAAAATTGACCCCAATTAAATTAATAAATATTTGAATTATTTTTCATCATCACCAGCAATTGAGTTTTATCCCAACTATTTAGTGTTAGTTACACGAATTTTATTCAGTCATTCCTCACTATCAAGGGTCATACATTCAGTCAAACCATAAGTCACCATATCTCTTCTCACTTCTTTCATCGATGTCCTTTTAGGCCTTTCTCTTACCCTTTTAAAGCCTTGCACTTGAACCAAATTGCTCAGCATAATCGATGGTGCTCTAGGTTGAGCTGCACATGGCCAGACCATCGAAGTTTACTTCATCTTATTACCTATTGGAGCCAACCCCGAAGTTCTCTCTATTTCTATTCATTATGAATTATATCTTTTCTTGTATTTCTGTTATCCATCTCAACATCCTCTTCTCAACTGCACTCATTGTTTCTTGACCATCAAACATTATGTCCTATAAAGCATGGCTCATCTTACAACCATCATATAAAACTTTTCTTTTAGTTTTATTGGTATGCGATGATTACATAAGACTTTGGAGCTACATTCTGACTTTATCCACATATTTCTAATTTTATGTGTGACATCTTAATCAAAATCTCCAGTCTCACGGATTATCGATCCAAGATATCGAAAGTAATATCTTTTAGGTACTTTTTGGCTATGAATCTTAACTAATTCCTCGCTTTTACTCTTATTATTCACAAATTTACATTCCATATATCCTAGCTTCGTTCGGCTAATTTTATAACCTTTAACCCTAGAGCATTACCTCTAAAATTCTAACTGTGCGCTAACACCACCTCTAGTCTCATTAATTAAAGCTATGTCAACCGTAAACAACAAGTACCACGGTATCTCATCTTGTAGATGGCTAATTAACTAGTCAATAACCAAAACAATTAGATAAGGGCTAAGGCTGGCCCTTGATGTAGGCCTACTGTCACTACAAACTCAATTGTCTATCTACTAGTTGTCCTCATACTAGCTAGTACTCCCTATCAATATGTCATCTAGAGACTCATTGTTTTTCCAATACTTACGAAATTAATTCACTAGGTACCCTACCATATACATTTTTTAAATCAATAAAGACCATGTGGAGGTCTTTTCTCTTCTGCCTAAACTTCTAAATCAATTGCATAAGCAGAAAAAGTGACCTCAACTATTTATCTTCTTGGCATTAAACTAAACTGATTTTTTGATACTCTTGTTTCATGTCATAGTCGTTGCTCAATCGCTATCTCCCACAACTTCATAGTATAACCCGAAAGTCTAATCATTCAAGAGTTTGTACAATTTTGTGTGTCTATTTTGTTCTTGTAAATAGGTATCATAGTACTTTTCTCCATTCTGCTATTTTCTTTTTCTCAAAATCTTATTAAGCAACTTGATCGATCGGAATACGACAATCCCTCCTAAGCATTTCTGAACCTCTTTTGGGATATCATATGGTCCAAAGCCTTTCATATCTACATCTTTCTCAAGTTTCTTTCACTTTAAATATCCTAATCTTATGACTGTATCAATGACCTCCAACCTCATTTATGTCAAAGGTTTTTCCTAACAATGTGCATTCATAGTGATCGTCATTTAGCATTATTAAAAATAAATAAATTCTCCACCTTACACTGATATTATCATCCTTTATCAAGACCCTCCGATCCTTACTCTTAATATATTTAACATGATCTAGATTCCTACATTTCCTCTCTCTTATTTTTGCTAGACTGGAGACATCTTTTTCACCTTCTCTTGTCCCCAATTTATTGTATTGATCATCATGTGCCTTAAGCTTAGATTTAATCACTATTTTTTTAGCATTTTTGTTGGTATTTTTATATTCTTCTAGGTTTGATCATTTCTATTCCTTCTAAGTTTTTATTATTTTTATTCACAGCATGTGCATTTTTTGCTAATAGCCTTTTCATAGCCTTTTCAGCCTCATCACTCTACCACCAAGTTTTATTATCGAAGTATTTTTTCTTTCTAAATTCTCCAAAAACCTCTTTTGCCAATACAATCAATCATATTCCATATAATGTCGTCCTCAGGATTCCAATTTCCATGTGTTATCAATTTATTTATAAATAAGTCGATTTTCTCCTTTTTTAAATTTAACCACCTAGTTCTTGGACACATATTAATTTAACTCCTACTCTTATATCTCTTTATGCAAACACCCATAACTATAAACCCATATTGTGTGGCCAAACTCTCTTAAGATAACCTTACAGTCTTTACATAATGGTCGATCTGCCTTATAAACTAACTATATGACTTTTATTGTTCACTTAAATGCTCATCTCACTTCTTAAAGCAAGTATTTCCTATTACTAGATTGTACACCATAGCATAATCCTTTATTGTATCACCATCTCATTTATTTCCCCAAGTCCATATCTTCTATGTACGCTTTCATGTCCTCCACTATCTTTTCCTACATGACTATTTAAGTTCCCTCTTAAAAAAGTCATATCTCTATTTGGTATTCCTTAGACTACTACATCCATGTTCTCCTATAATTGTCTTTTAATTAGATTCTAGCTCTACTAGTGGCGTATAGGCACTAGTTACATTAATTATTTTTCCCTAGCACAACTTTAATCACTAGGAGCCTATCACCTACTATTTTAGTATGAGATTGTATACAATGAGACCATTTACCTTTAATACAAGGATGTCACAATTACTTACAACCATCAATGTGAAATTTGATAGCTTGGATGTGTCACAAATTCGAGCAAAATTCTTTTGAACTTTGAGCTTAGTCAATAAAATAAATGCAGCCACCCAATTTCACATCCAATGGTCAAGATTAATTATGACCACCTTATATCAAAGGTAAATGGTCTCATTATATACTTTCTCTTTTAGTATCAAATATTTTATCCTTTAAATCTTTGCTTGCTATTATGCCTATATCATATCGATTCTTATCCTTTTTTATATACAAAAGTTTATATCCATTAATTTCTTTAGCTTTTGTCCCTTTTCAAGCTTTATGTAAGCAAGCTATATTAACTCTCCTCTGTCTCATTGTTTGCACTAACTCCACACTCTTACCTACTAGAGTTCCTATATTATGTAGTTATACAAATCCAATTCTCTTGGATTTGCTTCTTAACTTGCTAAAATGGCATGGGAGCCCTTAAGTACTCGTTACTGCATTCGGGCTTCGCTGCGGTGCGATGCTTCTAGGGGCTTCCTTGTTAACCCTTGCTTATTTCTCATTGTACTAGAGTGTCGGAATAGCATGCCACTTACAGGAAATTCGCTAGCATGAGCATATAACATTCTTTCAAGCTTTATAAAATAGATGTGCCAAAAGTTTAGTTGCCGATCTAACACAATCCTCGTCCTTTTTCCAGGCTTGGGACCGGCCATGGCAGAATTATTTTAATTTTTTTTAATTTAAAAAATGCTCAATTTTTTACACTAATTACCCTAGATTTTGTGTATCTCTCAGGTGTACCCTTGAAACTACAATTAGAGTAGAACCTATGATAGTTAAATAAGTTCCAGACAGATTTTCCATATTTGATGTTCCATAAAAAAGAATAAAAAAAAGATTTTCCATCTTCGTATTACTTCGAGGTTATGGTTATATAAAGCATCCGCATGCTTTCTTTTGGATAAAAAATTTCCAAGTCCATTTTGAATAGTTCAAGACAAAATTATATTTGATCTCATTTCCTTTAGTCCCAGCTTCAAGAAACGAGGCTGATTAAGAAATGAATAGAGAAGATGACTGCTCAAAATATACTAATAAACGAACCATCACATCCGAGACCCACAAGCAGTTCTTTAGATAAAGTCAAGAACTACTCTTTGGACCCTTTTAGGCCACTTTGTAACGATTATTTTATTCGAAATTTGATCGGTTTTCAGAAATGAAAGGAAAAGATTTGGTAGCAAAAGGTTTTCTTTTGAGAAATTGGTAGCTAAAGGTTTTCAGTAAGATTATCTTTGCACTTCTACAGCTTTTGGCAGGCAGTGTAGGTTGCCTTTATTAAGCTAATCAAGTAAATGCTTTGCCAACAAAAAGCACCAGTTTAAGATATAACATTTTTGTTTTTTTAATTTTCACAGTTAACTTTCATTAATATAAGGAGCCAAGTTCAAGTATAAAAGAGGAAGAAATGGAAGAACACACGCAACGCTCCCTACTTCCAGGGATGGATGATCCATCTTGACTAAAAACCCTAACCTCGCCGGCACATACATCACCTATTATCTAAGACTCATCCTAACCCCACAAAGCACTCAAAAAAAAAAAACTCCACCAAATGGCCCCATTTACCCACCCCAGTTTAAGATACTTTGAATGGATGTGGAGGTGGCATTCTATCTATATAGAATTTAGCAAATGAAAAGGGTGAAGAGAGATACATATGTCCTCCTTCAGGGAATCATAACCTAAAAATAAATGTCCAAGGTGCTAATATGCTTCAAGTAAAAGAAAAGGCCTGATCTTGCATGTCATTTCGACTAAAGCCAGTGCAAGAAGCCTTCAGTGTCGAAGCCAGTGTCTAGAAATTGAGTTGGGCTTGGACTCGCAGGGTCCAAAGGCTGAGTCACCCTGTTCAACTCAAGTGAGTCCCAACGGACCGGCGGGGCGCGTAGTGGGTATCAGTTACAGACTCACTAGGCCCCCATCCACAATATTGCTTTCTATATGCCACTAGGCATAGAGAATTTATATATGCAACTCTCTTCCAGCCGTTCTATCTGAATGAATGGCTAAGATACCTCTAGCTATAATGTCACAAGTGAGCCTTGACTGTTTGATTTAGATCTAATGGCCCAAAATATTTGATTTTTAATTTTTTCTGTAATCATATGAATATGAAATTTGGTGTGTTTGATAATCTCAATGGGGCTCACCTAAAAATGACTTTAATAATTATTTTCATGAAAATAAAATGATTGCTCATAAAATTTTCAAGGGTATTTTAATTATTATATTTTTTAAATAGTTTTTACCATCTTTTGTAGGTGCAAGCGCATGAGAAGATTGGACAGCCCAATTTTAGTTTCAATATGATTTGTATAAAAAATTTAAAATAATATAATTTTAGTCGTGGCATTATGATTGGGACTATCTTAGCCATCCTGGAAAAAAAGGTAATGGGTGTAGTTTGCAAGGTGCACCTTCAAATTTTATCATGGTATATAATTTTGATGTAAAATGTTGTTAGGATTATCTAAAAATATATTTTTATATCTAATTATAAAATTTTAAATTTCAAAAATAGTTAAAATCAAGTAGATCTATAAACATATGAAAATCTTAAAAATAGGTGGTGTAGATAATATGTTGTAAAATACACTATTTCTTAGACTTAAAATATTTTTATTTTTCATGGTCAAGATGATCAATCAAAGGGTTTTTCAACATTAAAACTACCTTTTCCAATGGATTTTTGAGGTGCATCCTGCATCCTTATATAAACTTTTTCCTTTACAAATTCCCTGTACCTAGTGATATAAACTTTTTCCTTTACAAATTCCCTGTACCTAGTGGTATAAACTTTTTCCTTTACAAATTCCCTGTACCTAGTGATATAAACTTTTTCCTTTACAAATTCCCTGTACCTAGTGACATATAGAAAGTCTCCACTAATGAAATCTATTAGCTACAATTGTCTATTGGACGGCTATCATCTAATTTAGGATCATGTATAATTTATTGGAGATCTATCCCATCAATTGCACATGACAAATACATCTGGATGCTGCATAAAACACCGTAATACGCCATGGCGAGAATGCACATTTCTGCTCTCCCAAGAGGTGGCTTGGGCAAAGAAACCCTAAAGAGTGGGGACAAGGTATTCATGTCCAAGCCACAATAATCCACGCTACAAAAACTGCGATCGATATCTTCTCATTGTGGTGAAGAGCTAACTAACCATTAGACTACCTCAAAAACCTAGGCATCTTTTGCTTGGTTAAGATGTTGAGCACTGCATCCCATGTTTCAATTCTCATAACTACTCAACAAGAAACAACTCTCTTCCTCTTCCTATGGTTTTCAATGATTGCTCTCATGATGCCAACCTAACACAACCCCCTCAGCTTGGTACCGCCTTGGGACCAGCAATCGCCGAGTTTGTTTTCTCTAATGTTGCAAACTCAGCTCGGGCTTGAAACTTGGGAAGCAGTGTACATGCCCAAAACAAAGGCTAAAAACTCACAAGGAAAATCTGAATTTTTTTCTTTTTCTTTTCAAAGTAAAAAGTAAAGCAAACTATAGACAACATTAAAGTCCAGTCCAAATGATATGGAAAAATATACAAAATTGAGGATTTAAAAAAAAATTGAGTTATAGGTGGAAACACTCTAGAAAATCCAAAAAGATGAAGAAAGTTTGAAAATAGGGGATATGACAGGGAAAATGACAAATCATCATAAAAATATCAAAGTTATCTATGAAATATTTCTAGATTGGTTCTACAAAAATATAGATTTATTTATTTTTTAATTTTTTTTATTACCCTAGTTTTATTGGTGTACTTGGTTCTTCAAGGGGCCAAGTCCGACGAACTTGGGCAAGTCCGAGGGGAATCAGCCGAGTTTCAAAAACACTAATCTAGAAGTTGAGTATATCATGACCATCATTTAAGAAATCAGTTTCTCATTTAAACTGAACTACAATTATATTTGTTTCATTTTAACTTCAATGTATTAGACAATAAGTACTCGGAATATGAATCTGCTTCCCCTATGGTACAGTTTAAACAATAACAAGCATTTTTTGAAATTGAAGAACAATATTAGTATTACACCTGTGGCCTCGTTTGGACGACAAAGATTTTGCCATCTTTAACAACACCCTCAATATCTTGGGGGGAACCATAGAGCTCTTCGATGGCACTACCGGCCTTGGCTATGCTCGAGAGGATTGAATTCCGAAAGCCAGGGTCCACCAATAGGCGGTCGGTAGAGTAATCAAGCACTACCTTCTCTTCCTCATCCATTGGGACACTGCTCATAAAATAAAGTGCTTTCAGAAAAAGTTAAATTGAAAAGATAGGGGAGAGTATACCATAATCCCATGGACTACGGTATGAAGCATGAAGGCTGGATTGACTATCTATTAGTGGACCCATGATTGAAGGTTAAGGCAGAGGAGCCCACATGGAAACTGACAGATACCATGATTGTACCCAGTTTTAATTTTGCCTGGAAGCCGTACTATATACCTACACCACAGGATAGACAACCATCCACTGTCTATTGCCGATAATGGACATTGGTTGTTAACTGTAATTCTGGAGAACAAAATTCACCAGTTATGAAAATGTCCAGTGTCGGTGATCAGAAATGGATGGCAGATGTCACCATGGTGTACTATATACTACACGCCATTGGTTTGTGTATGCATCCGATTCTCTTTTTTCCTGTCTGCATTATTTTTTGGAAGGACAATTTTCAATTTTCCAGTCATACCTATTATAGTTGTCAGGTGTAATTTTGTCAGAACCGTTTTATTTTAACATTACTTTCTTAGCTTACACAAGGAGGGATACTAGTTTTGAGTTCCATAGTAATTGTTGTGAGAATATATGCAACAAAAATCTAATAGTCACCTGTCATAAAGGCCAGCACCAGCATAACCCTCGAGATCTTCACCATTTGAATCAGACCGAAAGATGATGGATCGTTTTATAAAAAGACCAATTGGCTTGCTTGGGTAACCCAATATCTAGAAATAACATATTCCAAATTAGTTTGATAAGATTGTCAACATGGTAAGGAAGCATATTAAGAACTGCAGGAATGAAGTTAATCAGAAACAACAAATGATTATCCTAGTTCAAAGTGGGCATATATCAAGAACTCGACTAAATGCCTCATAAGATAAAACCATTGTAAGTATTCCATTTGTTCCGCACATAATCCTGATCTTGTCTTCAATTTCTCACAAATAGTTTTGTATTAAAATATTATGGATGTCTTTTAATTTACCCAATATTTCTGAGCACCGTTTAATTTTCTCTACATTTCCAAATTTATCTTCACACAGCCAATTTTCGTTGATTAACATTTAAACTTCTAAGAATCACATGACCTTGCTCTCTCGCTCATGCATGCGCACGCGCACGCACACACAAATATACACACACACAGGCACACAGAGGGCAGGAGAGAGCGAGAGAGTTCCATTTTCATTTTAGCTTTCTGTTGTTCAGTACATAACACAGTCTCACGTGCACACTGGCCCCACACACACACACAAAACTCTATTCTTATTTCAGCTTTTGGTGCAAATCACTTTCTACAGATCATGTCAAAAGCTTGATCTCACCATTCAGGAATTAAGAAAAATAAATCTCACCTTTGGAGAGTCTAGGTTGGTCTTCTTACAAACATAACTCAAAGCGCGCCCAGGATAAGCTCCCACAAGAGTTTCTCCTAGCCCTTTCACCACCTATAAATGGCCATTAGACTTGAATATCAACCCATCATGCAATCACATTCAAAAGATACCATCAATTTGAACAATAGACAGTATTCACCTCAGCATATATCTCTGAAGAATCCCTGGACGATGGGTTGATTGTATGTATTACAAATGCATAATCGGCACTAATAATTTCTTGAACGAGAACAGCCATACAAAGATAGTTATGATCAAGTTTTGCTTTACGGGTGCTGAAATATGCTCTTTCATTCCACTTAGAAGCCCAAACCTGGTCTCAACAAAGGAAAGGAGTCTGCATATGAATACAAGTAGAATTTGCCATTTGACTGCTCCTATTTACAGAAATGAAGACAATGTATCCCTAAGCTGTAATGTTTCCATGAGCTAAAGTCTCACATAAATAAGCTAGAATCCCAATAGTAAGTTTTTTCATATGGTACTATGATCACATGCACCAAGACAAACAAAAAACAGGGACTGTTAAAGCTTTAACTTTCATTAGTCTCAAATGACTGCTGGTGTCTCTAAGTTTTTATAGGTAAAGAAATGCATTCACTACAATTTTATGAATGAGTTCCAGACATTCCCTAAAAGCCAAGGGTGCTTCAGTTGTCTAGCAAACAAAAACTTTTTGGGTTCTCATGGTAGTTTGTTGGAATAAACAAGGGCAGTTTAGTAATTTTTACAAACCCATCTGAAATGAGTGAAAACACATCCATAAGTCCAAATCAGTATGATTTCACTCAACTTAAAAAAATAAGAAGAACAAGACAGAAAAAATGCCTCGTAGTAGGAAGGTGATGCGTAACTACCAAAAGAAAAATCTTTGATTTTCTGAAAAAATTTATTAAACTAAAAACAAAATACTCTGAACGCTCTGAGCTAAAGAATCACTGAAGAACCAGAAATATATGCGCAACAAACAACCTATACACTACGTTTCGAAAAGCTGTGTGAAGTATTATGTCGCCCAGAATCAAGCACAATTTATTTTTAAGAACTTCCTGATATCAAAAATTTATTAACCTCAATCACAATGTGTAATAATGGCAAAGCATGAAATAGATATAGTATACACATTTAAAAAAGTTTGTCTTTACGAAATCTTTTAAAAAAATGTTTGTTATTATGAAAAAGAAAGAACATCATTAACTAGGTTGATAAAGGTTATTCTTGTAGCCAATGTACAACAGAGACAACTTTCACAACTCTGACCTTCTTTATTGCCATCCATGCTTGCTGCCATCTCTGCTCACCTTCATCACCAGGCCAAGGCATACCAGCACTTTTCATCTTGTCCTTCAGCTCTTGAACCTGGAGACAACATGAATCCATTACATATATATTCACTACCGTAACAAAGAAGTTAGGAAGCTGACAATAGATCCTAAGGTTATTCTTGTTTAGCTTTAGAAAATTACCCCTATATCTTTATAGATTTCATACCCTTTCGGGTCATATAAAACTTTCAAGAATAATATGCACTTCATGGATATATATCCCAAGAAAATTGCATCTGTTGGCCAATAAGAAAAATAGCCTACCAATTGAGGCGATGCAGTGAGCTGCAACACTGTTTCCCGGATGTCATGTAATGCAGAGAATTCTCCTCCTTGCAATCTTTTCTTAAGTACCTCGATTTTTTCAGCTACATTCTGCAAGGTTCAAAGTCCAAACAGTTTCATAATAAGATAGACAACCATAATCTCATGCATCGTTCATGAATTCAAGACAAAAAAAAGCTATCAAGAAATGCTAAATGCTACCGAAAGAATAAGAAGGCACATGAAAATGAATCCACTAGACTAAGAAATAATACAAAAAAGGAAAACTAAATGCATTTATATAAGGCAAGCTCTGGCCACAACACAGACAGTGGAATATGCAGTGCTGAGGTCAAGATGAAGACCTTGTTTGAATCTTCCGAAAGAACTTTTTCAAACACTCCAAATGGGAGAGCAACTGATGTCGGAAGTCCGACCCAGGAGGGGACTTTGCCTTTCAAATATGATATGTTACGAGATTTAGCTCCGACCTGGAAAATGTTGAAATTTCATAGTAAGACTTTGTGGAGGATAAATCTGAAACCCAAAGCACAATGTGCTCCACCAGTAACACACATGCACAAGAAACCACAAATCCAAGCGTACTGTCATTATGGTAATTCTAGATAAAACAAATGCAAGGAGGATCCTTGAAGAAAGCGTTACTATGCAAGAGCAACTAACCATTTCAGGAGAAAACTCATCAGAAGATATTGCATATCTACCGGCAAACTCTTTTCTGGCTATAGTTATTGCTGGTGATGACTCTTCAACCTTTGCAGTAAGTGGACTTCCATTCAACGTTTCAGTTTCCTTGACCTCACTATGGTACAAAAAAAAAAAATTGAGGTAAGCTGATTTCTGGAGATTTAAGTGAAAGGTTCTTTTGAATTTTTCTAGTTGGAAAAAGAAAACACCGATGAGTGGCAGTTAACAAGTATAGGTGGAACGCACTCCATCAGAACTCTGATTGTATGCGTGCCTATGTAAGTTATCAGCAGGAAGGGTGGAATATTGGGATGCATTTGTGCCACACCCAACTCTTACCAATCAAGGAAAACGACGAAGGCACAAAGTGTGATAGAACTCATAATTTGGGCAGAGAAAACGTTATGTTTTCAAAGCTTAAAGCATGGACTTGCCTGTAAATAAGATCAGAAGATGTTGGCTTTACTCTTATTAGCTTCCCTTCTTTTGACTGAAGATCACTAAGAATATTGGGATCGAAACATGTTGCGAAACAAACCTGCCAAAGCATCGGATTTCAGAAAAAGAACATACTGAACTCGTTCATGGTCACTTGGCATTCCATTCCCCATGGTCAAACCAAAGTTATATAATTGTGTAATTGTGAATCAAATCAACATATAAAACAAGTAAAAAAGAACTAACACATCATTGTAGACGCTACCAAATTTCCCACCTTGCTATTTCTTGCTCGCACTGAAACATGAGATAGGATATCTGGCATGTCAGGCGTTAACACAGCAACAGTACCATCTGGAATTTCTTCCTCTCCCTTCACTCTTTTCGACACCAAAACTGTTGGCCGTTCATATGATACATTCTGAACAGCAAGCAACTCATTGACAATAACAACATAGCCAATCACTTCAACTGGACTTATCACCTGCCAACTGTTCAGCATGGCATGACTCAATAAAACATAAAAACAAGGCTAACAAACCAAGGAATGCCCTATGGGGTGCATATCTTTCTATAATTAGGAAACATTTGGTGCTAAGCTTATTAGTTTCTTCGCATAAGCTCATCATTAAAGACTTTGCTTGCCAAGTTTTGATAAAAAATGCACTGATAATCAACCTGCCAAGATGAGCAGTCTCTCTAAGAATGGGGTCAAGTCGATTAAGAAGCAATGATAGGGAAGCAGCCGATCCAGCTCGGATGATCTCTTCAGTAAATATGCTTACCTGCATCGCATGTACACATTGGAACGATCGTTTTACACAAAGAAATGATAGGTTACAGCTAAGAGCCAAAATGATCATAAGGGGATAAAACTATCTCAGAAACGGGAAGACATACTGCCCACTTGTCAACCCCAAGTAATGATCCAAGATACTCAGCAGAAGGTTGCAGAATTCTCTGGTAGTGCTCTGCCTTACTTGTGAGAGCAAGTCGGCTCCTATCAAGAACAGACTTTGCATATAGTGCCCAATGGTCATCTTGGGACTTGGACATCTGGAGGGTATAATTCCATTCCTACGAAAAGACACACAAGATCAGGATAAATGCATAGACTAGAAGACAATAAATTGACAAACAGAAGAATCACAGGACAAAGTCAGACAAATATTTTTCCAAATGCATGCTGAAATAGAAAATAGGTGAAGTTATGACTTCCATAATTTCAGAAGTAGCAAGTCGAATTACTAGAGGCAACTGGCTTAGCCCATTTCATAAAGAACTTAATCGTCACAGAGTTAATACCAAACTGGTCCCGTCGGGGAGTGAAACGGCTTGATGAACTAACAACTGAGAGTTGTTTACTCTAGTTACTCAAAATGACAACAAAATGGAGTTGCTACATTTCAGAAGTCAACAATAAATGAATCATTTTCGGATCAGCTAGACAGATAATTCAGTATTCACTTAAAATCACAGTCGCTCATGAACTTATGCTCCATTCTGTGGCATTGCAGAATTCAAGTCTAAATTACACTTAGATTTATGCTGAATTCACAATCAAATCCTTCTGATTAATGTGATACATTTAGGAAGGCCATGCACAGTGTATGTATCTTCCTTTATCTAAGTAACCACAATATCTATAATGACAACTAATGATATTGGAAGGGGAAAAGAAAAAAAAGCAACAGTTTTATCACTTAGTGACAAAACATTTTCTTTTCTCTCAATGAGTTGTAACAACTTCCATAATACAAGAAAGAAAATTTCTGTGAAGTTGTTTGCCTCCTAAGAAAAAGTTACAAATTAGAGATTACAAGCATTGGATCATAACTGACTATTATAAGCTACATAATGCAATTGTCATATGTGGATGCAATTTTCATATGTCCATTTTGTCCACAGTCCATGATGCATGGATAGTCAATCTTATGCCATTGCGTAAGAAATAAAGTACTTACGAAAATAGCAAACATAACTAAATTAACTCAACCACACTAATATGTACCTTCAAGCAGTAGATAAGATCCTCATTACTGTCTGATGAGAGTACCAAATTCTCGAGAACTAGTGCTATAAAATGCATAATTTTCTGCAACCAGAAGAAGAAACAGATTAAAAATCTGCAGGTCTATTTTGTTAGTATATAAAGATAGATAAATCTGTGTATATAAAGTTAGAAAAATCTTCAGCGATATTTCTTTCAGGTTAATTGAGATGTAAACTATGGAAAGAAATAACAAACTCATAGAAAACTGCATAAAAGAGATTAAAATATGTACTTGTGGTTCAGCATTATTCAACTCCTCATATCCCCTTTCAATGGCTGTTCTAACAGTAGAATCCAAAGCAAGATCCAAAAATATAAGATCCTTAAGACGATCATGGGATCTAAGAAGCAAAGGACGAAGCTCAACACGTGCTTCCAGCAAACCCTGCCATGTGCCATGTTCTTTTAAAATAAGTGTTAAGAGTTATTGTTGCTGTTGGAAGCATAAAAACCCCAAGAAGTTTCTCTAGTTGATTCACATGTACATTAAGTGAACCAGGACTATCACTACAATCAAGTATATGAATTCTTGACACTCACCTCAAGCAGAGGTTCAACCTGTTTATCTTCAACATGATGAAGAATGAATTGCAGAAGTTCCTGTTTGCCAATAAGAACCCATACTTGAATTAGTTTCCCCAACTGAGAAATAATTTGATTTCTATTTCAAAGAAATGTTACATTATTAAAGTTAATGACTTTCACTACCATTTATCAAAAAGATAGTTACATCTACTCTTTTTTTCTTTTGTTGGGGACGGGGAGAGGGAGAAGGGGGGAGTTGTTTCACTGATATATTTAAGGATACTTACAGGGAATCCAGATGGCAACCCAGAGATAGGATGGACCTCAACTCCAACCATGAAGCCTTGACCCTGAAGAAATCATAATTTCATAGATATAAAAGGCATATAGATTTCAAAAAGTCATTGATCAGATTGTAACTACAGTACCTGCGCACTATAACCCATACATGTTGCAATTGCAGACTGAAGATCTGCACCTGAGTGCACCGCCTGAAAAGTTCATCACCAAAGAATCATTACCTCATAATACAAATCTGATATTTTGTAGAATTTATGAAATTGGCCTAGTCTGAGAGCATGTTCAAGATTTCAAAGCTTGATTTTCACTGTAGGAATATATTGAAGCATCATGGATTCTAAGATTATCACAGATAAATTTGCACCTAGCAATGCTATTATGCAAACACATCAATCTGAAGGGGAAAGTAGGAGCCCAGTCAGTCAAATGAGCTCATATCAACAAGATTACATTCTAGGTACAGATTATAAAAATTTCATGTTAAAATATAATTTGACCATAAAGAACCAGAGTACATCTAATTGTCCTTAAAGATTAAGGATACAGATGCCACAACCCTTTGTGGCATGGACCATTAAGCCTTGACAGCTAGGTAACGTGTTTGAATCATATGGTCTCTAGTTGAAAAATGAAAGCAAGACATGGCTCCTTTTCACTTTTCACCAAGTTTTTGTAAGTGTAGTATCCAAGGATACTACACTTACATCAAATTTCAAGATGCGATGTATGTCTCAAAAATTAATGAACTTAAATTGGGAATCCCATCAAGGATTCATAATTCTGCACCTATGCATTCTCGGCCATCATTTCCTACATTTGTTTCTTATAATGATTCATGCTATTAATTCCCCAGTCTACTAGATAAGAACTAATTCACTAGACATGGAAATGCAAAGAAAGAAACTATTCTTATTGGATCACAAAAGTACGGGAAATGGTTATGATAGTGGACAACTGATAGCCTCTCATTAGCTCAAGGTCAGGATTGGAATAACCTGCCTCAGTAAAAACACTACTACAGATCCAGTACCATAACATTAATCTCCTGGGGACATCCTCCACTTTAATTGACTGCTTCAGTAGGTTCGCAAATATAATTAAATAAACCAATTTGAAAAATTCAAGAAGAAACTTCATGCATATAAATAATACATCCAACTCTGTGCAGACTACAAAAACCCTGCAAAAGGCCTCATGTTTTAATAAACTGTCAGATAGTGACCACCAAGAGTATGTCATGAAGAACATGTTAAACACCAACTGCGCAGACTACAAAAACCCTGCAAAAGGCCTCATGTTTTAATAAACTGTCAGATAGTGACCACCAAGAGTATGTCATGAAGAACATGTTAAATACCAACCTTCAATGTTCTCAAATAATTTCCTAAATCACGTAGAAGACCCTCCTTCTGGTCTCTTCGAAAGTGTGGTTCAGAATGAATTCCACGATCATAGCTTAGAAGGCGTTCTTTTGTGATACCATTGGAGTTGAGGGTGTTCCAGTAAACACTTATATCAAAGTCACTACTGATATAATCAATTAGTGCCTGCCAAAACGAAATTGATATAGTTATCTACATGAAAATAAAATGGGTTGAGACAAATTAAAACACAAGTACCTGACAAATTACAACATCATCTGGACTGGTATTGTTATGAAGCTTTTGATGCCATTCCTCCATCATTCCACCCTTGCAATCGTTGTTTCTCTGCTCAGGCGAAAAAGAAAATTGATATTTCAGATACTTTTTTTATCGCTTTCACATTGCAAGGATAGTAAACTACATACATATACCTGGATCACCAATATTTCATCCCGAATACGTTGGCCAACATCCCCTTCTCCACCGCGGCCTACTGTTGACATGATCATTCGCACAATCTCCCTGTACTGAGGATAACTTTCATATATTCTTTGAAGTGAGTCTGTAAGATTATCTTGAGCTTTACTGATCTCACTGTAATCATAGAAGAATTGAACAGTATCAGGAATTTATAAATGGGAGGGAAATATCTTGAGCTTTACTGATCTCACTGTAATCAAAGAAGAATTGAACAGTATCAGGAATTTATAAATGGGAGGGAAATATTCATTCAAGAAAACAAATCTGTAATATAACCTGAAGAATCAAGACCCATAAAAATTATGCACCATCTAAAGCGTATGGCAGAAAGAGCTTAGTAGTATCAACCAAAAATATGGAGAGGCCGAGTCTTACAAAAGAAAACTCTGGCCCTCAGAATTTGAATTATCTTATATGTGAGTGAATGAGCATTATTTCTCTCCAGAAAAAGGAGCATAGAAAGTTCCACCACTTTTTTCTCATCCAAATGAAGAAGTGCACTAAAGAAGCCATCTTACATTCGATTAAAAGAAAATTAATGAACGAAGGAAAATGCTGGAAGGTTATGACCGTAAACTATCCACAAGGAAGGAGGTCTGATGCCGACAGAAAATTAGGAAAATTCAAAATTTTAGTATTAGTATTTTTATTTGTTTTTGTTTATTTTTCTTAAGGATAGGAAGTGCGTTGGGATAAGTTAGGTGGGACGATTTTGTGCGAGAGTTTTAGTAGGGGCATGAATTGTCACCCAAGAAGGCTTATCTTTTGGTTTAGGAAATAGCTTATCTTTTAAGATAAGTATAAATTATCTTTTATTAACATTTAGAAAGAGAGGATAACATGAGATTTAGAGAGAGGGTATATTCTCTCACTCTTCATTATTATTTTTATTTTAATTATTTTTTCTTGTATCAGTTGGTATCAAAGCTTTGAGAACCGTGCTCAGCACAACTAACTGATGATCTAGTTATGGAGCCTCTAGATCAAAGATTTGAGAGACTCAAAGACGACCTAGTAGAGCGTATTAGCAAATTTATAGAAAAACGTCTACGAGATCTATTTCACAGATTGCAATCGGAGGAAGAGGAGAAGAACATGAAAAAGTAACTATCAATGCAAAGATATTGACAAATATGAAAAAGAAAATATAATAGTTGCGGTACGTGAAATACCACCCTTTGATATCGAAGGAGAATTCCATATTCAGTGTGGTTTTCTAGAGTTCAGTAGTTCAAATTGTACTCCAAGTGTCTTCTCAGTTGGATCATTTTAGCAAGGAGAATGGTTGGACTTCATCACCAACTTTTGAGAAGACCTCTAAAAGATTTGAGCTCGATAAGCTCGAAGTTGAGCTTCTCCCAACCTGAGGAGAATGATGCAGCTAACAAATTAGGAAAATTCAAAATTTTAGAGTTATTATTATTTTTCTTTATTTTTTTAAGAATAAGAAGTACGCTAGGATAAGTTAGGTGGGAGGATTTTGTTCATGAGTTTTAGTATAGGTGGGAGGATTTTGTGCATGAGTTTTAATATAGGCGTGAGTTATCACCCAGGAAGGCTTTCTTTTTAGTTTAGGAAATAGCTTATCTTTTCAGATAAATAGAAATTAACTTTTATTGTTTTTTAGAAAGAGATGATAACACGAGATTTAGAGAGACGAAAATAGAAATTTACGTGGGAATGAGAGAGAGAGAGAGAGAGAGAGAGAGAGAGAGAGAGAGAGAGAGAGAGAGAGAGAGAGAGAGAGAGAGAGAGAGAGTAGAGTAGAGTAGTAGTAGTAGTAGTAGTAGTAGTAGTTAGGTAGGTAGTACGTACGTACGTACGTACGTACGTACGTAGTAGTACGTACGTACGTTACGTTACTTACTTTACGTTTAGTTTACGTTTACTTTAC